TATTTAGTGGATGACGTTTCGAAGAAACATTACCGTTCATAATCTTATGGATTTTAACTAGACAACTTAGATACTTGATTTTACAGTGCTCCTTCTTTCCCATTTGTATCAAGGGTAGAGGAAATTTCCAGATGTCTGGGATAGATGCTGAGTCATTCATCCTATGTCACGTGTTCTCAACAATCAATCGCTCCCTTCACCCTGTTACATTAGATTCTAATGTCATTTTGCCTCATTTCATATTCGAACTTCCTGCCTATTTTGTTATTTCTACATTTCTAACCCCTAATTGCACAATATGTCAATCTTCTCAGTAACAATGATGGTACTTTGTTTGAGTTTTTTCCGTCCCCCTGTTTATTATGACATTTTAATTTCTAATTGTAATTTTATTAATTTGCCCCTTGACTTGAAATATTTATAGGATAATACTACTACCTATCTACCTCACTATATTCTCTATCCAAAACTCGGGTTTATTACACTTTGTAATTTTATTAATTTGACCTTTGACCGGATATAGTTCTGGAACTTTGTCACCCTATTTTATGATTGATATAAGAATAAAATAAAGAAAAAGAATTGTGAAACTAGTAATAATAACATAAATAAGAGAGAATATAAGTCATCTACAGTTATACCATATAAAGAGGGGACATCTGAGACCCTACGTAGGATTCTAAATAAAGCAGGAATTAGGTTGGCATTTAAACCTACAAACTCACTCAGGGACAAGCTCTGTAGGTTAAAGGACCCAGTTGATTCAATTAGACAAAATAATATATATATATATATATATATATATATATATATAAAACGAAGAGATTATGATATTACGTCCTGATAAAGGCGGTGGAATCGTAATCATGAATCGCAAGGACTATATCAGTAAAATGCTGACTATACTATCCGATGAATGCAAATTCACAAAACCGATCAACGAGAAAAACATGACTGAACAGACCGAACAAAAGCTAACGGACACCCTCCGTAAGCTAAAGACTGAATCTTTCGTCAGCAACGAAACGTTCGAATCCCTTAGACCATCTGGCTCAAATATACCACGACTTTACAGACTCCTGAAAGTACACAAGAAGGGTATCCCTCTTCAACCGATCCTCGACATGACCAATTCACCTTATCACCGCACAGCCCAATGGCTAGCAGATCTACTTGAACCAATCAAAAGACAAGTTTCCTGCCACACAATTCGAGATTCATTCGACTTTATCGACTCAATCTAAAACATCAACGTATCCAACAAGACCATAATTTCATTAGATGTCACATCCCTATTCACAAATGTTCCACTGACTGAAACAATATGCTATATATGCGAACTTATTCACTCCAAAGGAATAAACATCGGTATACCCACCGAGTATCTTAAAGAACTCTGAATGAGGTGTACCCTGAATGTTCAATACTTTTTCAACAACGAAATATATCGCCAAAAGGATGGTATAGCTATGGGCTCACCACTAGGCCCTTTGCTTGCAGATTTCTTCATGGCAAAACTCGAAAACACATGCCTGAAGAAATAATCAATACCTTCGAAATCTATAAAAGATATGTCGACGACAATTTCATTATCGTCAACAACGAAGAAAATCTAGACGACATCTTGAAGTCGTTTAACAACTGCCACCCTGCAATTCAGTTCACGCTGGAGAAAGAGTCCAACTCCACAATATCCTTTCTTGACGTCCAACTAACAAGACGAGAACAGGATGGAACACTGAAAAGGTCTATCCACAGAAAATCGACGTGGAACGGACAGCTTACTAACTTTCACAGTTGGGTACCCCTATACACCAAACGAAACCTGATCCGTTCACTCAGCTACAGAGTTCGCAGAATTTGCACCCCGGACACCATAGAAGATGAACTGGACAATCTCAAGAGAATCCTCGTCGAGAATTGTTATCCAGAAAGATTTATTGCAAAATCTATGAATCCTAGACCAGAAAAGCCGCCCATGCTTAGCGTCCCGAAAAAACTACTCTACATGAACCTTCAATTCAATGGAGATATATCTGCGGAAACACTAAAAAATCGACTGTCGCGCTCACTTAAGAAGACCTTCTTCGCAGCTGAACTACGACTAACCTTCTCCACAAAACCTATGATTCATGTGAACGTGAAGGATAAGCTACCGCTGCTGGCCTCATCAATGTGTATTTATCAATTCACCTGCTCGTGTGGAGCCAGGTATGTCGGCCGTACCCAGCGCTTGCTTTCCAAACGTATCACCGAACACTTACCAACATGGTTTTACAAAGGAGAAAATCGATGCCCCCGCAGTTCCATCTTAGAACATCTGATAGAATCCGGACACCAAGCTACACCTCAAACAAACTTCAAAGTCGTCTACAGAGTAAGAAGTAGTCTCCCTAAAGGTGTACGAATCAGACTTCTTCAAACTGCAGAAGCAATGGCGATTCACTCGCTAAGTCCTGAACTCTGCATACAGAAGTTCGTTCAATCACTACACTTACAATGGACGTAATCTATCTTATTAGCCGACAAGTAAATTCTACCTAATCTTTTCTTCTGTCTCTTCATTCGTATTATTTTGTCTTCTCAATTGTAATATTTTACATTTTCAACTTTCTTGTTCTCTACCCCCACCCGATTCAATTTCTACACCTCACTACCACTGTTACTGACTTGAACAACGCTCAATTTCTAGTCATTTATGTTACGTCATCCAACTTATTTGCTCAATTTCACTTCTACTTAGTCTCTACCTGTAATTACCTCTGTTGCTATCCTGACCTAAGTTGAAACATTTTAGTCAGTTATATTACGTCATCTAGCTTACTAACTCAATCTTACTTTAGTTGCTGTCTGATTAACTTTGTCTCTATACTACATCATTCTTGTATTAACTAATCAATTATCTAAACTTGACAAACCTCATGTACACACACACACACAAATAATTATATATAAATGCGATTGTACAGCTATGTGAATGAATTCGCCGAAAAGAGTCTCTTCGCTGAACGTCTTCTCTTTTTCATAGTCATGAAATCTCCACTATTATATCAATCAACCTGGATTGCGCAATATTTAGAATAATCTGTACTGAATTTTCCACTCAGTAATTTGTACGAAGTTATCACATTTCATAAATGGTAGAGAAAAGTAATGCAGTGAAACTATTATTATTCCCTTGGGTTCCGAGTGGAACCTATAGCTTCAACAACACATCTCCACTTTGTTCTATTTTCTGCCGTCATTTTCAGCTGGGTTCACGATTACCCATAATTTCTCTCCTTCTTCTCACCACACAACCTTCTCCATGTGATCCTCGCACCAACGACCCACTCGTCGCTTCCCATTTGGATTCCATAATAAGCGAAAATGTTGTAAGCAGAGAGTAATTCCATGAAGAAGAATAATAAGGGTTCAGTGGATCTAGAAGATCACTTGGAGTGAATACATCTGCACTACTGAAAACGATTTCTAGCCATTTTACCAATAGTCTGCAACCAATGAATGATAGCATAAAGAGAACCTTAGTCAGGCAGCCTACATCCCACATAATATATGTGTGCTACGGTAGTATGTAATTCCGCGTTCAGTTATAGCATCACATGCAGTTACATGGAAACATAAAATAGGGTAATTCCATTATGGGTAAATTTTGTTTTGATAAAGTCTCACAGTGTTATACAGTAATGTTTACTGATGACGTTTCGAGCACAATTTATTGCTCATAATCATATCAAGGTAATCACACAACTTCCTAAATTCATTTACATAGTTCCATTGTTTTTCACTTGATTTGATTGGTAGTAGTATTTTCCATATTTCGGGTATGAGTGATGAATCATTCCTGTTGCATGTGTTGTGTGTAGACTCTATGAACCAGGCAGGATTCAGTAATCAATCTCTCTCCACCTACCTAGATTACATTTTAGAATTTTGACCCTCTCCCACCCTGTTGTGTGTTAATGCATGCATTGCAATTGCTAAGCTATTTTGTAAATTGCTTATCTTCTCAGGGTCAACGATTCTTACCTTAGCTAAATTCTTATCTTCTGACAACCTGACTACCCCTGACCTACTAGTTTGACCTATGTAGTTGACCTCACAGACATTACAGGGTATTTTCTAAATTATATTATTTAGAAAAAAGAGAAGACATTCAGCGAAGAGACTCTTTTCGGCGAATTCATTCACATAGCTGTACAATCGCATTTATATATAATTATTTGTGTGTGTGTGTGTGTGTACATGAGGTTTGTCAAGTTTAGATAATTGATTAGTTAATGCAAGAATTATGTAGTGTAGAGACAAAGTTAATCAGACAGCAACTAAAGTAAGACTGAGTTAGTAAGCTAGATGACGTAATATAACTGACTAAAATGTTACGACTTAGGTCAGGATAGCAACAGAGGTAATTACAGGTAGAGACTAAGTAGAAGTGAAATTGAGAAAATAAGTTGGATGACGTAACATAAATGACTAGAAATTGAGCATTGTTCAAGTCAGTAACAGTGGTAGTGAGGTGTAGAAATTGAATCGGGTGGGGGTAGAGAACAAGAAAGTTGAAAATGTAAAATATTACAATTGAGAAGACAAAATAATACGAATGAAGAGACAGAAGAAAAGACTAGGTAGAATTTACTTGTCGGCTAATAAGATAGATTACGTCCATTGTAAGTGTAGTGATTGAACGAACTTCTGTATGCAGAGTTCAGGACTTAGCGAGTGAATCGCCATTGCTTCTGCAGCTTGAAGAAGTCTGATTCGTACACCTTTAGGGAGACTACTTCTTACTCTGTAGACGACTTTGAAGTTTGTTTGAGGTGTAGCTTGGTGTCCGGATTCTATCAGATGTTCTAAGATGGAACTGCGGGGGCATCATGATTAGCCGAGACAATCCAATGAAAAAAGTAAACTTGTTAAAGATTTTTTTCACAGGTCTGAATTCTCTTTTTAATCGTCTGACAAATTTTCTTTGTTTGTTTCTTCATTATACATTTCAGCGAGAACAAATGGCTACCGTTATCATAGCTGTCGCATTCGTGGCAATTGTTACAATCTGTGTCGTTTTAATTATACTACGATCACTTAGAAATCGATCGAATCGAAATTCCTGTGGAGTAAGTTATTACAGTCTATCGGGGTTTCTTTTATTCAAACACCATAGAGAAGTATTATTTATTAACACAGAGTTCCGAGATTACTCTTGCTCACTGTGTTGTTGTTGCACCTAGAATCCCCGACCGATAGTTGCTGCGTTGACAGTGGTGGTTGGGCTTGCATATCGCAGTCACCTGATAAGTTACACTGGCTGAAACTAATGTTCCTAGGGGTCCTGCTATAGCAAAATATTGTTAGGATAGAGATTAAACTAAAAGCAGTTATTGGCATAGAGTAAGAATTTTATGTCATGCTAGGGGTTTATGGACAAATTCGTACTGCTGGGGAACAGGAACGTAACAGTAGAAAAGTGTTCCTTCCAAATGATCAACTGCCTCTCCACTCCGAAGACAGGACGGGTAGAAAAGGTTTACCCCTGAAATACTACATTCCAACTCACCCTACAGCAGTCTGTAGCCGGCGGTAGGTTGCCAATACAGAAAATACTGTAAAAACCAATTCAAACAGGTCGTGTGTGGCCGACCTCAAGCAGCTGTCCCCTAGACACTGTAACCACGCAACACTAATTCTTTGTTTCAGTTACCTCAAGAAAAAATCAACTTCGACAGTGTAGGCAGCCAGGACGTGACAACCATCCACACAATTCCAAAAGCACACAAATACACTCCGAACTCCGTCGCTCAAATCATAATTTTCATGTAGCAGGCTATATCAGTCAAACATGTATGACGACTAATCATATTGCCCAATTGATGCAGATGGAAAAGGATTCCATCCTGAGATCCACTAAATGAAAGTGAAGTACTGAAGTCAATAAGTTACATCTCCCATATTTAATAATAATAATTTGCTTTATTCCAAAAGAGTACCTGTGATACAGAATGGAATTCTCTGCATTTTTACTACAGTATTGCATCCAGTTAGTACATTACCAATAAGTAAAATTCTACATAGACTAAGGAAATCTCAGTTCATTACGACAACAACATATTGAGATGTCGGTAGCAAAGCCAAAGTTGAACAATGTTTGAAGGTGTTATCATATTTACTGGCGTAAGCGGGAGAAAGAAATAAAGCAGCACATAACGGAAAAAAGAGAGAGAGAGAGAAAAGGAAAAGAAAGAAAGAAAATGTTGTACCTATAAATGATATGAGTTGGAAAGACGAGGTCCAGTTGTTCTACTGACTATTTAATGAATTATAGGTGTCATGCCTAATGCTTTCTTTATCGCACAGAACACAAGCTAAGTAGGGTATGGTTGAGTTTCTGTACTTGTTGGTGCGAGCATATAGTTTTCTATATAGGCTTCTGGTTTTGCCTGATGAGATGCAAGGAGAGAGTTGTGAGTCAGATAAAATGGACTTGGCCCATTTTTCACATGAGTCCATGTGCCTGTCAACCAGAATATTAACAAGATGGTTAAGTGGCACGTTGCTTACCCTACTGACAACCTTTAACATCCTGCGTAATATGTTATGGTCTTTCTTCAGTAGCCCGGGAAAAACTAAGGGGGAACAATAGAGAATAATAGGCAGAATGCGAGAGTTAACGAATTGTAGGAGTAAAGGTTGGGTTATACCAGAATTTCTTAACTTCTTGATGTAGAAGGTAAGACGTCCGTCAAGTACTAAAAACACTCTTGAGTGTATGTTCTTGACTGACTAACTTCATAAATATGCTACTTATCTACATAAGTTGGCAGAAAACATTCCCCCAAAAAGGGGGCAGTTTTAAATCACAAATTTTACGATAATGTTGGTCATATTTCATTTTAATTAGGAAATAATTATCATAGAATATATCTCCCACAAAATTACACATTATTTTTATTATTATTCCCTTGGGTTTTCAAGTGGAACATGAGGCTTCAACAAGACATTTCCACTTTCTTCTACTTTCTGCCATCCTCTTCAGCTGGGTCCACGATTGCCTATCATATCGTCCGCGCACGACCTCCTCCATGTCAACCTCGGACGACAAAATTACACATACATAAATATCAACTGATCACTAAGAGATTAACCGATATAATGCTATCTAGTGTATGCTGCTGTTCTTAAGTCTATGCTGCAGTTTATTTAATACGGTGACCATCAAACAAAATTGCAATACATAAGACGACAGAGCATACTGTACATATATAGGTACAAAAATGCCTGTTTGCATAAGGTAGAGAGCTCAAATACTTCTATCCAAATCACAACAACTGATGATTTCGTCGACAGCGTGCCAACCAGAATAATTCATTTCAGGAGTTTGAAGTGACTCGAACTTCTCAGCTAAGTCGAACCACATACACTGCTGATGAGCTTGACCATGTAAGCAAGATGGCTATCGGATGTTTAGATCATCTCGACTTGGCCGGAATGGTTTCCAAATACTTAATTAAGTCATTCAGTAGTGCATACTACCATCGCGATCGAATTATGTCAAACCACTCATATTCTCACTCACTAGCAGATCTGATCAATAACCTAGAAAAAGAAACTGTCATTACCGAATTGCATAGAATACTTTCAAACTGATCGATTTTAAGCCATATCTGAAGTCTCCATAATTTCTTAACGACTGCAGGATTTCATTCAGATAACTTTACACACACACACACACACACACAACAGTAGAGACAGTCATGAGGAACCTTATGTGAAAGGATGATATTCTCTCTCTAATCAAAATCGTCTTAAAACACACCAAACGTATCCCTATTTCAGTTGTCGACATTTAAGAATGAAAAGGAAGATGCGAATACTAGCGATTTTATTAGACCCAAGGAAAGTAAACAGTAATCTAACACAACATATCATCATTGACAAATAATCCAATTAACATTGAAGTGGTTTACTCTGTTAAGAAAAAGTCAAATTAGCATAAAATAGATTCCGGGAAAATACATTTATAAGATCACATAGTGGAGAGTATATGAAAAACTCAAAAGAAATGTTCAATCAATCACACTATTCTCTTCAGAAAAGAACTTACACTGACACTATCATCTGAAAATTGTAACTTTCTTTTATGCGGGCTTGTACTAATCTACTCTAGTAATTTGAGTGTTCATTCAAAGCTACATAATCTTTCATTGTTTTAATGACAAGGAAATGAAAAACTTGAAAAGTGCTCAAATCGCACAGAAAGAAACTTCATGAGTTGGTTTGTAAGGATTAGATTTGTTTGACCAAGGATCGATATCAGTTAGAGAACCATTGAAAACCAATAGGGAGTACTGGACAGCTGTTTCACCCTAGTTTGGGAATCAGCGGCAGTACGCACCCACACTGCGGAGTTCGAGAAACAACTCTTGAAAATTAATTTGATGTTCGCTAGTGACTTGCGCGCTAAATCATGAATTGGTAGAAGTTAGAATTCATGGAACATTGAAAATCGGGTCCCAGTGGCTGAATGGTAAACGAGCTTGCCTTGTAACCGGAAGGTCCACTTCACTTCAGGAAGAACATCTGGAAAATATTCAGTGCGTTGACGATTTACCATTAGTCAGCATATAGTATGACTAGTTGCAGATCCGCCTTGCTGACGCTGGTGAGTGCTAACAAGCACGAAACCTAGGTCCAAGGCTTCCCCTGCCCATTGTCTCCAACCATCTACTATCGACAATTTACAGTGCACCATGATGTTTGAACCACCTAGAATGCTGGCCACATTGCAAACTTGACTCGCAGAATTCAGTTTGCACCAAACTAAAGACTAGACACATTACACTGGTATCCAATCAAAATAGTATGACTTAAGTGCTATTCTCAAAGACTGATACTGAATGATTATTATCCACATTTTGTGATAAGTGGAACGGAGACGAAATCCTTAAACACCCCAGAACAATCACTCGCAACTACGCAAGGCACAGGCTGTGTCTGGAGCATATTTCCATATGCACAAGGCGTTTCTAGGAGGGACTGACATGTGTGACAACCATTCTATGCAAGACATTTTTCGAAAAAGAATGAAAAAAAATCGAGTGTTAGACCACCACTGCAATCCAATATCACACAACTTATATTTAAATATTTAGGTATGAAACACAAGAGTTAAGAATAGTATCTTCAATCAATGAAAGTAGACATTGACCTGTAAATAATACCGAGTAGAACATAATTTTAAGCTTTCTAAAGCTTCAAGTAGAGGATGAATTTGGCTAACCTCACGGTCAAACCTTCAACTTTTCTGAGCTTACCACCATCTAGTAAACCAGTTGGGGTTTAAAAATACATACCCCGGAAATCGACACAGCACCACTTACGTAGTTGACCAGGCGTCTACGAGTGAATGCAACCGTATATTACATATAAACTCAGAAAGTCTCTAGAAGAAATATATTTGTAAACCCTATTATTGTATTTTTATCATTTTCAGTGTCCATTTATGAAACGACAGAAATCAACTGAAACGGAGAAAATTAACAAAGTAAGTTTAGCTACCCCTACCTTATTGATAACAAAGGCTTTTGAATACAGTGTGTATAGAACGATTTGAAGGATACTCTACTGAGTAGATGAATACGATTAATGAAATACTGACTGGCAAATATTTCAGTAGATAAAGTGCCAAGTTTAACTCCGAGCAAAAAAACGTAAATCAGAATCGTACAACCGTTATGTTGAAGGGAGTGTGCATTCATTCACATAATTACTGACTCAATCAGTTTGTCCTTTAATATTCTTGTCAAAAGAGCTACCATAAAAAACACTTTCAGAATGAAAAGTAAGTTTCAGTAACCCACTATCATGGAAACAAACCATACAGACTGCAGAATGTATACTATCTAACTATAGTTTTCAAAACGGCGTTAAATTCGAATAATCTAAACTAATCAACTAAATTACGGACATAGTGGAAAATAAGTATGCTTGATCTCCATGCTGCTACGACCGATTGTATAAGCAACGTTGAGGACAGAGAGTGCGTTACATTAGGATTCCAAAATATGCGCACTCAATACACCCATGCCACTTATCTCAATTTCACAGTGAATTCACTCTCCTACCTAAATATTGTCAACACAATAACTGGCGTTACTGATTAACTGTGACAAATGTCACTTCTCACATTTACCTTCTCCCTGAATGACCAACCATCAAATCGGCTGTGGACACAAAAATATATTCTAACGGATTCTGTATAGGTAACGTAACTCCATGCTAAAAAAGTTAGACTAACGTTAAGCTCAAAAACGATATTCACTTTTACACATTGGCTTCACGATATCGATTGCTGACTCCAGCAAAGTAATGCTCTAAAAAATTATCGTATCTCACAAAGCCTTCATTTGAAATGAAGCTATCAGAAAAGTAAAACTCCGGAGCCTAAAATTTAAAAAAAACTGTAAATTCGTTTCTGAATTTCATCACTTCGCTTTCTCTCCTCCTTTAAAGTGTCTCAACTGAGACTGATACACCTGAGTAAAGTACACAACTTGAAGAAAAATGAACACCACTTATACGGGACTTGTACTGCCCACTTTGTTCAACATGAACTGAGCACTAAAAGCTGAGCATCGTCACCTTAGCGACCAACTGTTCTAAAACGAACAATGGTTAGGCAAACTGTGGTTCGAGTATGCTGCTAGTTGATTATCATACGCTGTTATTCACAGAAATTCATAATCAGAAATCGCATAAGAAACCAAATTGTGATTGTAGGATCTGTTGCTACCATCAATTTATGCGGATTATTTTTATACAATAATGCGATCATGACGAGAAACAGAATTTACCACTGTTAAAATCTTCCATTTATTTCACAGGGTGAAAAGAAAGGAACTTATTCCTATATAACCAACGACAATCAAATTGAACCCAAATGGGAAATGCAACAACAGGCAGTGGTTGGAGCAGATTATGTATCCGATAGGCTTAGGAAAGTTCCAACACGTAAGTTTTAAAAACTGCAAAAAAAAAACAAAATTTTGCAAGACAGCTGCAGCAAGTTACAATTTTCTCTTCCCTCTCAAAATGATATTTTTCTTCTCTTACAGGAAATCCTGAAAACAGAAAATGGTATGACTCCGCTGCGATTCCTTTCATGGATGAGGTTTCTGCATCGCTGGAAGACCTATATACAGATCAACAGCAACCAAAGCCACAACTGTGAAAGATGTACATACTTTACGACTGATTGCACAATAAACTTGTAAAGCTCTTTTGTTTTAATAATCACCTAGTACACACATATTCCAAACTTTGGAGATACATTTTTTGAGTCTTGCGCTTGATGACAACAGCAACAAACAAAATTATTTTGAAATGAATGTGTGTATTTTTATTGCAGCAAACAAATTCAGCAATAATAAGATTAGACAATCATCAAATTCTTCTAATAGAATACAATCGTTCTTTTTTTAAATGTAGCGCGCATACCGGATATGAACTTAACTAAATGCTGATAATGAATATTTATATAAAAGGTAACTGATATACACGGGTTTCAGAGAAAAATAAGTTATTTCAAAACTAGTCATGTCTTTTTTCGCCTATTTCATCTGTCCCTGATTCATGGGGCTGGTGATCCGAAATAAATGCCCGTAAGTCTTCAATACACCGTTGTCCTCTTTCGTGTAGAATTTCTTTCAGCATTGGCATCAGTCGACTTTCAAGATCTTGGTCTTTGCTGAAAAATGAATTTTAAATGGCAATTAGTTAGTAACATTTTTCCAAATACTAAAACACAAATGGTTAGTTTACCAAGTCTGAGTGGGAACAACTGTCTAACTCTATGTAGTTTCCCATCTATGGTGGGAAAATAGAAAAATAAAGTGAAGACGCAAGGAAACTTGCATTGAAGAAGGAAACTCTATCAGACCGAATGTATCTTACATGACGAATAGACTACTGAGTTAGGTAACGCAGATAGGAAACTAAGCGAACGAAAGACTGGAGGAGTATAGAACCCAAAGTGCACAAGAGGTTTGAAATAGTTTGCACACTGAGGGATTTCGCATATATGCCATACCTTAACCTAAGGACGCAAGGTACATATTCCCGCTATTTATAGCAGTCATACCAGTAAGAAGAAACACACTTACCTTTGTGGGTAGTTATAACGTTTAGTGTCAAAACAAAAAGCCGACAGTGAATGCAGGTTTTTTCGTCACTTCTGCATAGCTTTGCTCAACAATAGGAAGTAATTTAGTTACTTTTTTAAATATTGTATTTAGGCAGTCATACAAATTAGAATTCATAACTGTAGACAACTACGATAGGTATTTTAAACCCTTACACCTTAAATACTATGCTCAACATTATGGCTTTAGTGAAATCTGCTAATAACTTTGTTTTATTAGACAAAGATAATGAATAAAATTTGAACGTTGTGTTACAATTGGATGTCATACCATGAGATTTCACCAGAATAAGCACGAAAATCGCGATGAACTTCTCGAAAAGCGTGACAGGTGCACAGAGCTTTATGAAGTTTAACGATACACAGACGAAGGGAGAGACAGAGATAGGGAGAGAGAGCTACTGCGAAATGAAAGGATAAACAAAAATAGAAATGCAGCCACTTACTTGTGTAGCGTGCAGTAGTTTTACACATTGACATTAGAATAAAACGATTAATGCATAAAGTAGATAATGGATGACGACAATTCAATGATTGCAGCATCAGAAGGAGCAACACGAATGGAATGTGAAAATAATCACCCAATCGAGGTAAGATATACATTTTTGCCAGGTTCGATAAAACACGAACAAGGATGAAAGAAATCACCCGATCACAATATTTGGCTGATCAATTAATACCTTCTATAAGCAAGAGCAAACGCCAACTTGATTCGTAGGCGTAGTTGCAGCTGATATAAAGTTGAGTGTATATATATTAAACCAGGATATGACCCGTTAACAGTTAAATATCCTGCAAGTCTCGGACATATTGGCTGGCATCTAACGAAAATATTCGCAATAACCGATCCATTAATTATAAATTAATTCACTGTCCCATACTCTGAAGATAAGAAATCAGCCCTTATCCGTGGGTAGAAATGCTAAAATTGCCAAAGCACAGATTCATATTAGATTAAGATGAAAGAAACATAACATTTTAAGCATAGAAGGCTAAATTACCTTATCAACATGCGTACAACTGTTGTAAATGCTTCGCAATCCCGTTTGTACTCCTTTTAAAAATAATTGTGAATTAAAAAAAGAAGATATATGTGATTACCTCTGCTAATGTATCTTTCCGATCACGAATCAAATTCATTACATCCTCAGAACTATCATTAGGCTCTGCTGACTCTTTATTATTGATAGTTGGTGCACTTGAGGTAACAGTTTTAGACCCTGAATTATCTGGAATTTTCAAAAAAAATTTGATATACTCGTATTAATAGAAAATTAGAGATACATGAAAATACTTCATAAAAATTGTACTTCAGTAGCACTAGTAGCTTCACAAACTGTCATGCAGATGAATGGGTACAAAAGATAGACAAAACACGAAAAATCTTTGCAAATACCTTCTCATTCCTATTGCAAGGACACATACGAGAAAACTAAGTCTCCAAATATTATTTATACATGACTAAGGTGAGTCGTATAGACAAATACAATCCTGAAATCAGATAATAACAAGTTACAGGCTCATATTTGCACTAAAAAGGATAAATCATGAAAGACGTGTCTTTCAGTATAAAACATATTGTACCTTAAACGGAAAAATGCAGATGTTATTAAAAAAGGCCCTATGGATAAAAGTATTTTATGGCATTATACTCGTTATTGATTTGAGTTTGTGATTTTCTTGCTGACGATTTTTGGATTGAAATGACCAACTTCATTTTGACATTTTCGTTTTTTGAACGAATGATGTCTTGAAACTAACCTGCACATAGTGAACAGGAAACAAAATCTAAGGCGTGCATTTCATCTTATTTGGAACTCTTCAACTAGAAGTATATATACACATATGTTCAAAGTATTTTGAAGATCTATTTTCATAAAAGTTTACAGTTTCGTATGACATGAAACCATCTTCAGGATACTAAAAACCCGGTCAGTCATATTGTACCTATATACGTATACGTGTTCCGTTTACCTATTATGATACAAACTGTGAAATACTGATCCCAATATTATGGATTGTTACAAAACACCAAAATATGTGAACTTAACACATTCCCTGCATCTGACAACATTCTGTTGAGATGAAAGAATTTGCTTACCCAGAAAGGATAAGAAATGATGCAATGATCACTACGAAGACGTACCTAGCGGTGTTTGAAGACAATTTCGTCCGATAAGTACTATAACCTTAAAACTGCTTATATCATAAATAAGTGTTCATAGTCCTAGTAAGGAGGCAGTGTTCAAACACAGGATAAGAAGCTGGATCTCACAAACCCAAAACAAAGCTGCTCGTATAGAAGCGATCTACATACGACGACCGGCAATTAAAATGTCCCGATGTTATGGAAGACCTCGCTAACACAGCACACAGGCTGTGAATCAAAATTGGGATGCCGGTTAGTGAAACTATAATTTGAACCGTTAAGAAGAATTCAACGGTTACAGTAGTAACACGAGTAAGTCGTTAATTCGATTCGTTGCCGGGTTCATCTGAGCAACATAAGTAAGCACAGGTTTAGAGTAAGGCTATTAACAAAATTTATTAGCATTATTGGTAACGATGACTATGTGGACCCTATGGTTGTTTCTGTATGCCAGCTAACTACAGCTGGAAACCAATGATACAAAAAAATGCAATTCTGAACAACTGACTACTATAACTTACATATCAATAATACCACCTACCAAACAATTTACACCATAGCAACAGGGTGTTTTAAATAATTCTACTGTAATATAATGTAAGCGGAGGATCATGCTCAAAACAGATCACAACTATTATCCATTTGATAAAATCTGTTTGAGTTGCACAAATAATATAACTGTTAAACTTTAAGAACGGCAGAAAGGCGGTTGCCACCTATCATTAATACATTAAACAATGAAAATACCCTTGTATTCTTTGCATAAATACACAATGGTCGACATGTTATGTCTATTGGTCGACCGACACAAGTATCCAGAAAATAGTTGTATCTATAAAACCTACCAAATGAATAATTCAACAATGATTTATGCATTTATTGCAGCATGTCACATGAAACAATCGTGGAGGTCCTAAAGATAGGCATGCTGTCAATGAGTAGAAAATGTGGACCGACTTTCTTATTGAATAGATGTGTAGCAACAACACATAAGGAATACCTACTTAACCAGGTATCCAGAACAAAATACTCGTCAATAAATCACTGTATATGAAACATCGAATCCACAAATAATTTTTAATAACTCGTCTGAACAACACAATGGTTGCTTCGATATTTTTTTGATTACTTCCAGCGTATTTAAATAAACTGACTGGCAAAATTTGAATATGATTTGAATTCCTGTTGATTCCAACAAAAGCTATTTGTTTAAGTGAAACGATTAAAACATTAATATTTTAGAGTTGAATTAGAGAAAACAAAGTATATTTACATAATTTACATCCATAGTAATAAGAAGTGTAATTTATTTATACAAATGAACCATCCATCAACAAATGCCAATGTTAGCAGCTATGTGGATGGTCAATAGACATACAATTTTGAAATGAGAAATTTACTTGTTTAAACAAATTTTACTGTTTCACACTGTACACTTAAAATCCTGACGGTTACACTAATGAACTATAAAAGAAGAACAATGACTTCAATGTACGTACACGCAACATTCAAATATGTCTTATTTTTTAGCTGTCAGTAAATCACCACCTATCAAATTCACAATACAACTATCAAGAGTCAATAGCTAAAATTTTGGTGAATTGCATTATTTTTCTTATTCAAACAACTGCAAACTCAAAAACTAGAGGATTGTCTTTTTGCTCCTAAAAGTGACGCTACTAGTGAACTTTTGGACACATACATTCATAAAATGCTCGAAAATAAACTAATTTAAGCCTTAGAATGAAAGATGATGACAAGCTGAGTGAAACATGTATCCGGTATCACGTATGATAATTTAATTTTCTTACTCAGTGGGAACAATGAACAACCTAATTCGAGTAGTTACTTTTGCCATGAACTGATGAAACATGTATTAGGAAATGACAACACTTAGTGCTTTCAGTCTGTCCGACTTTAATGTCAGCAATATAACTTAGTAAAGTTCTGTTGAGTTATTGACGAAAAAGATAAACCCCAAGTCAACAAGCCACCTGTTACTAATTATGACTTAGCAAGCAATTTTATGTTAGCTGAATCAACTACATTAGTGATTATAAAAATAACTACAAGCAGAACGAAATGGGAATGGTACAAAACGACAAAACAGCCTCCGAAACACAAGATACAATCTAGATCGAGTATAACTGAAAACAAAATCCAACAATGACCAGTCAGGCAGAACACTATTGTAAGGACGATTAGGACTGCCCATCACATTAAAAGTGAAACACAATTGTAATGATTAATGTTACCTTTATAAATCATTGAAAATGCCATGAGACTGAGTTGAGGAACTAACAGGTTGAAATTAGGGCGTACAAACTAACAAGTTATAGCTCCAAAAATGGAAAAGAACCACACAGAACACTGTTTTGGACACATTCAACAACAGGGTCTACAAAAACAAGTAAGCGTTCTATCGCGTGAGCCAATGCTATTCAGTTTTCCCCCTGAAGATAATCTAGTTCTAGCAACTAAGAAACCGATTTCATACCTACTTAAACACTTAAACTTTGCCTATTTATTAAAACACCAGTACTATTTGCATCAAATAACATACTGAGGTGCAATCTGTCATTTGAAGTGAGACAAAACTTGTATGGAGTTGACTTCTGGTAGGTGAAATAAGAATTTTATAATGCAATGTGCATAATATCCTGATTCACAAGACAAATAAAGTTGCATGATAAAAATGTCTTTCTGCAACTAGTGATGTAAGGCAGCATCTGCTGTGTATTACACTAAGCATTAAATCAGTTTGTAGATACGATTATTGTGCGACATACAACCTCAACCAATAATTAAAAACCTGAGTAATCTTAACGCACGAGAATAACTACAACTTACTCTTTGAGGATGCAGGCTCTGATGTTTTAGGCAAAGATTTATTACCCCTTGGAACTACTGACTGACTACCACTGACTTTTGAAGCATCAGAATGATCATTGTCACTTGAATTATTAACCGAACGGGTGGAAGATTTGTTTTTCGATTTACTTAATCTGCCGGAATTTGTAGGCCACTTTTCAACTTTTCTAGGTGGATCATCACTAACTTCGTCTTCCGGTGTTCTCCATCGTTTAGCTGTATTTGATACTGTGGTAGACAGAGGAGAACGTGTATTCTCGGAGCGTCGCGAATTATGACCACCCTTTGAATTCTTTTTACCAGCTACCGGTGAGGAATCCTTGCCTGATGATCTCTGACTCGACTTGGAAACACTTGATCGACGTTTTCGACTGGCATTGGTTTGACGCATTTTTACTGAATTTTCAACTTCCGGCGTCTTTCGAAGACTTGTTCGTTGGGCTTTGCTGCGTGTATTATGTCGGTCATGAGATTCAGTGCTGTGGATAGATGGGTGAATAAAGAGGAAGACTTTTCAACGAGTAAATAAAATGTTATCATCCTTATAATATTAAGTAGCTGATTCTTTAGGAAGAGGAAACAAGTAGCACGGACGCATATCGTCCCTCAAAGTGATAGCAACTAGCTTTGAACGGTCAGTTGGTAATGCAAAAGCTCCATTTTCTTCTGTATAATAATCAAAATTGATTATATGAACCTTGCTCGGTAATGAATGCACACCATTAGGGTTTAGAGATAATAATAATACGCTCCCTTTGGTTCAGAGAAACACCCCCGTCAACTTTATATTGGAGCATTCAACGTCAGGACCCTCTGACAAATCCGACAACAGGCACCACTAGCCACAACTCTGACATCACGAGCCATGGATTTATTCTGCGTTTCGGAGACACGCAGACAAGACCCGAGTGTGGTCATTCACTCAAACTCATCCAGCCAACAAGGTGAATCTGCGAAATTCACTTTAAGGGTGCCAGGAGAATCGTTAGCTAGTTCGCGAGGACTCGCAGGTGTAGAGATAGTATTGAGTGTTAAGGTAGAGAAACCCCTTCTTGACTGGATCCCAGTAGATAGTCGTTAGAAGAAGGAAGGACGGCGTTACCCGTCGTTGTCTTTTCGTAGTCTCCGCTTGCGCCCCAAATGACTGAAGTTCGGATGAATTAAAGGATGACTTCTACCAGAAACTGTCTAATTTGTTGCAAAAAGCAAGACGCTCAGGTATAGTTACTTTAGCAGGCGACTTCAATGCCCAAGTAAAGAAGTGATCGGTCTCATATCGTTTATTTTTAGCTACCTGGCGCTGATGGGAAATATCCTGTTTAATTGTTCTGAAAAGATCTACAGAAAACTGAGAAGCACTAATAAATGGAAATGTTAGCGACGAGAAGAAACACTATCCTATTATCCCCAATTATTTCACTTCATGAGAAGGAATAGATGCCAGTGCTAGAATCTGTATACAGTTCATCAGTTCATAAAATGCATGTGACAGACTACCTCATTTTTAAAAGATCTGTATCGGATATGAATACGAAAAAAGCATTGCCGGTAAAACCAAACACCAATTAGTTACCTGTTAACTGGGGAACGGGTATTTCTTGTTTTCCTTCGTTTTTGAGGTTCAACGATAGACCGACTCTTCTCATCACCATTAGAAGCAGCTGCAGTTTTCGCTTTGCTACTGCGACTAGAATGATTATTGTAAGGTGGTGAGATTGAATGCATCCGTTTACGCCCACTGCGGTTTTTAGGAGAATCGAAAGCACCATTAGAACTAGCAACTGAAGCGCCAGACGACGAATTCTCGGAAGAATGACGACTTCTCCTGGAAAAACTATCGCCTCGGACAGGAGACTGTTCAAAGCCCTGTTGCCCACGGCGTCTTAGTTGTATAAGTCCACTTACCAGTGAAGACCCGCCTTCCGGGTTAGGTGCAGGAGCATTTGAGTATGCGAGATTTTCTTCATTCATCGAAGGTGACCCTGTGAAACATTAAAAAGAAATGCTTAGGAGATCAATCGATAAAAGAAAAGTGCACTAGATCAGGTACTACTGATAAGCGAAAGTCAGAAGTTAATCCATGATAACCGGCAAATGTCAAATGGAACTTGCTTGAAAGCCGCTGCTTTTTCCGTTTTTGATAATCTGGAGATGAATTTTCACCCCCACTGTTGTCATATGGAGTGTGATTTCTATCTACTGAGTGACGATTAGATGAACTTTGTCGCCTTCGCTCCCCTGAAGATCGGCTACTACTACTGCTACGGTCATGAGAATGACGAGAACGATTGCGAGAAACACGTCGATCATCATAGTTACGGCCATTAAATTCGGACTCGCTAGCATTCATTGAATCATCATGATTTGACGGCAAAGAGTGTCTGGAATAAAATGTACAGATTTTATTGTTAAAATCGCACGGATATGTATATGTATATGCAGACAGTATATATTAACTATTGAAAGGCAAAATGCTTTGGAAATTTTTGACGGAGAACTTTTCCAAGATGTGCTCTCGTTATCTTGGTTGGTTTAGGTACTGTAGGGAGTTAAGATTTCACATTAAAGTTATGGCCCACCTGACATTTGAAACTAAACGTCAGTAAATCATATAAACGAATGGCAAAAGAATGAACACGATGTGATAATTTATCACGTATCGAATTTGATTGTGTTCATACTATGTGGAGTCAAAGCACTTCGTAATAAATAACCTTGTCGACACAAGTGGATGGAAAGGCCAGGAATTTGGCTTAAAACCAGAGCTTAAAATCCCGAACACCCAGAAAGTCAAACAGAAAAATTCGAATACATCGGATTAGACAAGTGAAAACCAACACAGAGAACTAAACGGACAAAAACGAGTCATATTTGCTACCGTTTGTTTAATATTTCGTAAGCGGGAAAAAAGTATGACCAGACCGCAAACTGAACTATCATCTGATCAATAGGAAACGAGTGTTGTCACCATATGTTGGTAAAGCACCAGCATGGAGTGTGGCAACTCGAACTGCTGCGTATCTTTACAAATTCCTACGTTGAAACCAATCAGTCAGTCAGTCAAAGCACCAAAACGCCCATGGAAGTTATTCAAAATCAAACCAGAAGCATATTAAACTTTCTGGAAACATAAGCCTGAGTTCGTATGGTCTGAACGGCACAATTTCTATTGACTGACCAACCGTCTTGAATAGGTAGCTGTTTTCTAAGACCAATAATCAACCTCCTAGAGCTTCGTATATGCTAGCTATAATACTTATCATAATAAAACCTTAAATATGAACTGAAAATATAATTACCATATACATGTATGCATAATGCAGATATTTTGACAACTGGTGACATAGACGTACCTTACACACATTCCATTTTAGAAATCCTGTCAAGCGTAGACGAAGGGAATTAATACGTGACTTACAGGTACAGTTTACACGGTTGGTCTTCTGACCCTAAGCTTTCCACCGGAGGTCTTGGCATTAATGTATCCTGAATTCTATTGAGACAGAATAAGCTGACAATAAGGAACACTTTACTTGTTTTGTCGTAGTGTTTTCGCTACTTACCCATCAGCAATCTTCCCTATTTATATGTGTACGTTTTTGTACACGAAAAGTAGTGATGTACTCACCAGTGATAACCTAGGCTTAAACTGACACGGTGGCGCAATTGAATGCCAGTCTCCCTCCATATCACACTCATATACGTAGACAAAAAATATGTGGACTAATTTATAGCGTCAGCGCTGTTATCATTTTAACCAACTATTACAACCATTCCTAATAAAAGTACCAACCTTGCATTAGAAACGGATCTAGATCGAGAAACGACTGATCTGCTGGCGCTCCTGGAAGATGATCCTGTGAATGATCTGCTTCGTGACGCAGTCCTTCTATCTGTACTTCTGCGACCTGTACTACGTTCTTCACTTCTATGATCTGCACTCCTACCGTCTGTGCTTCTACGATCCATGCTTCGGCGGTCTAGACTTCTGCGATCAACACTTCGACGATCTCTGCCACCGTCTCTGTATCCTCGACCACCTGAAGAAGACGAACCAGTTCGTATGCGTCGGCTGTCACCATAATTCCCAGGAGATTGCATGCTTCTTCGTTCTGGACCCCGGAAACCGCGAGCGCTCGGGGGGAACCGTCTGCCCTGGCGCTGTTCTTCATACACTGGAAAGAGGTATGTGATTTAAGAGAGTTACTTTTTGCTCTGGCCTTCTTGAGGTCTTTGAACCATGTGAGTTCCACAGGGTAACCAAACATCGTTTTGCCATTATGTCTGCTAAATGAAACAATATGTTCAGCTTACCGACGAAGCATTTCACTCGCAATATCGTGAGATTTGAACCGTATGGCGACTGAAAACCTCTTCTTATCCTCTGAAGTAGAAAAGAACTCCACAGAACACCTGGAATTCGTTTCATTGCTGAAGAAATCTCTGCACATATAGAAATTATACAAAAACATGATCGTTCTCACTTCACTTTAGTCACATCTGTAGACCCTGGCAACCCTCTAATAAAGAGAGTATGTCTACTAGGAAGTACGTTACGCGGATTTAACCGGTCAAACTGCTGTCTACGGTACATTATCAATTACGACAAGTACCCGCTAACAATGTCACTACTCAGCAAAACAAACTAAGGTGTACATACTTTGAAAAGATAAATATAAGTATCATCGACCGTTAAGTTCCACCTCAATATTTATGATTAAATTCTTTATCTAACATTAACAGCATACCACTTCAAACAACTGAGCATGGTTTGACTTCAGGAGCGCTCCTTGAATACGACGTGCATTTTCCTCTCTAACAGGAAATATCCACTTTTGGGGATAATTCGTTTTGGAAACCTGATCCTCCTATCCGGCGAATTTTATTCAACCATTTCTTCTTCACCGAGCCTGTGTTTGGTACTTCCCACTGTCTCGAACTACTGCCTAAGCTTCAGGTGCTACTTCTGTAGCAACATCCCCCTAACTCTTTCAAACATACAGGACTTGTTGGTCTGTTACGTGATTTTTGTGAAGCCGAATAACCCAAAAGTTACAGGTAAAGTCAAAAGCTCTTACTTATATTCTTTTATCTTTCTGTTCTGTGCTTTCTACTGTCTTTTGCTGTCAGTCTATTGGACAAAACTCCACTGTCTCTTATTATTTAATCATCGGTATTAATTTAGGAGTAATATGACTACAGATTCTCACCCCAAGATAAGTAGTGGGAGACCATACACCGTAGTCACCAGAGCTTCAGCCAAATTAGGCAAACAGGTGAAGGTGATGGAATCTCGCATACCGGTCTTGAAGACCAGGGTAAATATTCCCTGCGTGGACAGATTGTCCATGTCGCCGCAGTCCTACAGTGAAACAGTGAAAAGTCAACTAAGCGGATGTGGCTCCATCCCTGTTAACACAACTAGGTTAATAGAGGCGAGTGGTAAATCTGCACAAAGTGAGAATAGTATAACACCTATATCCACAGTAGGCCTTGAAACAAACAGGAAGGCCAATAAGAAACGTTCACGAAGTCGCAAGACGACGAAAACGTTCCCCAAGAAGGCAGACGATTGCAAGGTCTGCAATTCTATTGTCGAACAAGTAGACTTTTGTAAGCAATGGTACATTGTAGATGCGACACCGGGGTACCAAAGGTATATTACGATTTTATGCGTAAGAACCCATGCCCATGGTCCTGGTACATATGCCCAAGTTGCCGTCCCAATGCAGCCTCGTGTAGTTCCTCGAAAGCTAAAGATGGCATAGAGGTATCAGGAAAAACGTGAAACGTTTTACTCCCACCAACTCAGAAAACAGCACAATTGCATGTAAATCGGGGATACCGAAATCCACACCGGTTATACTTGCAATTCCTGCCATAAGTGCCCCAGACGCAGAGGTTGAAGCGCCAAGGGTATCTGTCGCTGGGAAAAGACCCTTACCGTCCACCAGTAAAAGTGGCCACAGCACTGCGACACACAATAATACCCAGTTGCACCAGACGAAACAAAACAGTCTTAAGGGGGATGGCAAACGCGCGAGGACCGAACCTAAATCCACGGTTAGTAGATCAAACTGCGTTATCCTCTTTAATGTACCAGACTGTAGCAGTAGTCTGCTGGAAAACAGGGCCCTGTTTGATCAGGAACAGTGGTCCAACTTATGTAGCACACTGGGTCTGGACATCCAACCAGTAAGACCGTGCAGATTGTATAGGGGCACTGCTGCTCCTCAAGGCAAACCATCCCCACTGAGGGTAACACTAGGCTCTACAGAGGATGCCGAAAAAGTTTTATTGACTTCTCAAGTCCTTTCTGTAGGGGGGACCTGCAATATACGTGTTAGGCCAGATAGGCCATGGAAGGAAAGACAGATGGCGAGGGAGTCGCCAGAGCTTGTTCCTTCTTCCTCCATGGTTGTTCACGGCATTCCCGAACTGGTAACTGGGAACGCTTGTGAGAAGCACTGCCACGATGTACAGCAATGGAGATGGTTGGCATCCCAGATGGATCTGGGAAGTTCAGGGGTTGTCTCTATTTTTAGACTGCCTCGACCCACTCACCTAATGTCAGTTTACACGCCACGTCTGTTAGCTGTCAAGTTCAGCTCCCGAGACCACTTGACTACTGCTCTCCAGAGATGGTACGAGACCAAGGACAAAGTCAGCAGACACATTCGCTGCTGCGAGGGCCGGCCTCATACCCAAAGGAGAGAACAAAACGTTGTCATAGAACATCCCCAACCCCTAGTCACAATACAGCGGTGCAGCACGGACGATGATAGCCAGTGTCATCCAAGTGCTCCGATTGAATCAGAAGAAAAAAGCCCCAACAGGCCGGTTCCCGGGGAATCGGCCAACTAGTTCGTAGGATAACTCCTCAACCGACAGCCCACATCACGTCAACCACCCCCCAATACGGGGACGTGTTGAGACCGACTACCAGTTGCCTGTACAGTAATGTGAAAGGTCTAAGAGGCAAAATAGCTGAACTTAGATACCTACAATCACAGCTGAACTCCAAAATCATAATACTGACGGAAACCTGGCTAACCCCTACGGTGGCAGACAGCGAAATCAGCATAAATGATATGGTCCTAGTCAGGCGAGATAGGGGTCTGAAAGAAGGAGGTGGAGTCACCATATACGTCGACAAACAGCTCGGATGTGTCCATGCAATCGACCCTCCCCTCATTGAGCTCCCTGACTCCATATGGTGCCATTTCACCGTTGGGTACTGTAAGTATCTAGTGGGCAGCATTTACAGATCACCTTCATGTGGAGCAGATCACAACCAGGTACTGCTGAATGCAATTTCAGCGACACAAGACATGGGTTATGATCAAATTGTCATAGCTGGAGACTTCAATGCCCCATCTCTTAACTTGATGACGGGATGTGCCCAGGATAGATTTGATCGGAAACTGTTGCATACCATCAGGGAGGCCGGATTCACTGAAAATGTCAGAATGGATACTAGATGGGGCCCAAATGGGAAGTCTTCTAGACTGGATTACGTGCTCACTAGTGACCAGCTACTAGTGGAAAACGTTCAGATCAGGACAATACACAGCCCTATCTGTGTTATAACAAAGCCAATTACACCGAAATGCGAAGACTTTTGTCTGAAGCAAATTGGCCAAAAAATTGGACAGAGCTTACAGTAGAAGAACACTGGGGAGTGGTAAAGGAGATCATTCACCAGGCGGTCTCAGACACTGTTCCTTTTGTCACACCAAAAGCTAGAAAGCAACGTTCATGGCTAAAAAGGGGGACAAAACGCCTTCTACAGGCGAAGCGAAAAGCCTGGTTTGCGTGGCAAGTATCGAAGAGTCAACCCGAACATGAAGTGTACCTCGAACTCAGGAATCGGTGTAACATACGAGTCCGGAGTGATAGAAGGACATTTCAGAGAAACCTCGCCAATAAGCTTCTCGTGAACCCCAAAAGCCTATACAGGTTTATGTCTGAAAGAAAACCGACCAACCAGGGGGCTTGCAATCTAGTGGGTTCTGATGGGAAATCTCTTACTAGTCTTGAAATGGCAGAGACATTCAGTCTAGCCTTTCACAGGCAACTGAACAGTAACGAGGATTTTACCCCCAAAAAACATCAAGATTACAATGCAAGACCAACGTGCGATACCTGCTGGGTACATTTCAAATTATCCCGGCTATGGTACTCGGAAAATTGTGAAAGTTGGCTTCGGGAAAGTCTGCAGGTTGCGATGCCATAAGACCATCCGTCCTGAAGCAGCGTTCAGAAAGTCTCTGCCAACCCCTAAGTGATCTGTTTCAACACTCCTTTGATGTAGGGAAACTTCCATGTGAATGGAAACGAGTCATCCTATCCCCTATCTTCAAGGGTGGTGACCGGCAGAACGCGACCAGTTACAGACCAGTTGCGCTACTCCCAGTGATATCGAAGATATTGGAAAGTCTCATTGACGACCACATGAGAAAATAATTCGACGGGACTAACCTACTCCATGAAGCACAGCACGGTTTCAGGAGGGGAAGATCCTGTGTGACGAATCTTCTACTAGCTTGGAACGATTGGACACTATCCTGGGATGTAAAGGTACCAGTCCATGTGATCTTTCTCGACTTTGCGAAAGCATTCGACACAGTTCACCATGGTCTGCTCCTTCACAAAATAAGCAAAGCGGGTGTTTCTGGAGCACTTCTCGCATGGCTGGAAGATGATTTAGGCGAGAGAGAATTCTGCACCAAAGTCAACCGCATCCGATCATCCTGGCACACCTCGGCATCAGGGGTTCCTCAGGGTTCTATCTTAGGGCCGTTGATGTTTTTGATTTTTTTCAACGACCTGCCCTGTCAACTGAACTGCTCTGCGCTTCTTTACGCTGACGACGTAAAGATTCGGGGAGAAATAAACTCATCGGAAGACTCCGACAGACTGCAGGCTGACCTGCAAACTCTGGGAGACTGGGCTCTGGCTAACGGAATGCCTTTCAACCAAAAGAAGTGCAAAGTAGTGCAGCTTCATTCCGGCAGGTCACAGAGTGTAAATAACACCCTTGGTGGCCAGAACTTGAGTTGTGTGCCACCAGAACGCGACCTAGGCCTTATTTTAACAGAAAAGCTAGACACCAGTGTAAATTACATGAGGGACGTCGCCAAAGCTTACGCTACTTTACACTTTATGCATGGGCAGCTGGGAGGTCTTACTCCTGAACTATTCTTAACGTTGTATACGACATACGTGAGGCCACTCCTTGAGATGCATAATATCATTGCTCCTCCGCTACTCAAAAGGGATGCTAACATGCTAGAAAGTGTCCAGAAACGAGCGACAAAATGGGTGATCGGCCTCCGCAACAAATCATATGAGGAGAGACTGAAGAAATTAAGTCTTTTCACACTTAGTTACCGTAGTCATAGGGGAGACCTCATCACCGTCTATAAGATCTTAAATGACCAGGCCCACCCTAATAAGAGCATCCTGCCATTAAGTGATTATAGGCTTCCACGAGGTAACCCGCTAAGGATAGCACACCAGAGACCAAAGACTCGAGTGCGTTCGCATTTCTTCTCGCTTCGAGTTTGCCGTCTCTGGAACGCTTTACCGGCGGCCGTAACTACAGCTCCATCTGTGGAGACTTAAGCGGAAGCTGGACAATCATGCAGAAATGCATGGTTTGTGTCTCAGTGGCTTACCCTCTTAAAATTTGAAACCACATTGTCAATGGATAAGCATAC